CAGTCCATGTTGTGTTTCGCTCTTTTCAGCCGCGTGTGTGTGTGTGTGTGTGTGTGTGTGTGTGTGTGTGTGTGTGTATGTGTTGTACATGTGTATGTGCTTGTGTATGCTGGCTGTATGCATGCACGTGTGTTTACTGGAGGACATGTGGAGGCCAGAGGTCACTGTTTGGTATCTTCTTCAATCACTCTCCATTTTATTTTTCATTTGTTTATTTCATGTGTATAAGTGTTATGGCTACATGTATATAGGTGCACCCATCGTACAGTACCTGCAGAGGCCAGAAAAGGGTGTCATCCCCAGGAACTGAAGTTATGAATGGTTATTAGCCACCATGTGGGTACTGGGATTCGAACCTGAGTCCTCTGCAAGAGCAGCCAGTGCTCTTAACCACTGAACCACCTCTCCAGCCCCTCCATCTTTTTTTTTTCCTTGAGACAGAGTCTGTCGGTGAAACTGGAAGTCACCAAATCAGCCAAAATAGCTGACCCACAAGCCACCAATGATCCTCCTGTCCTTGCCTTCTAAGCTCTAGAATTCCAGACACATGCTGCTCTTCCTGGCTTTTCATTTGGATGCTGGGGATATGGAAACCACTTACTGACTGAGCCATCACATCTTTGTTTTGTTTTGTTGGGTTTTTTTTTAAACCATTTTATGTCAATGTCAGGTGTTATATGCCTTTTCTTGGGGAGACATGAGCAAACATTTGTTCACCTCAGAGAGGTCACCAATGACAGACGGAAGGAACAATTCCATCCAAATCCAGCTTGCTGAACCAAATAGTTTTATTGGACTTAATTCCAGGAGCATGGGTGTGGGGTTACTTAACAAAAGAAAAGGTAACTGCAAAACAGCTGCATCACCACCAAAAAGTCTGTCTCCAGCATAGGTGACAACCTACTGAAAATTTGCATAGATGGAGTCTTCCCTACTGCCGTTAACCTTCCCCTGCTGGATACCCCAGCACCTTCTGAGCCCATGAGCAGCTGGAGCAGATTTATACCCAGCTGGGTGAGGAGTGGGGAAGGGAGGAGACAAAAGGAAGTGGATGAACTCTCTAGTAAGAGTCTAATGACCCTTACTCTCTCCTTCTATGAGGAAAAGTCAACAGGTCTAGCATGGGCAATCAGAGCTTCCCTGATTAAGATGGCTGTACTATACCTAAGGACAGTATTTTACATTATAGGACATTGGAGAGCTCCAAGACCCAGTGTTTACAATGGACTTTGAAGGAATTTTTATGAACTCCATGGGTGGAACATGGAGAATTCCTCAACTAAACACAGATGCTCAGAATCTGAAGGAACCTACTGATATCTCTCAAAGTTATAATTGATTCAATATATCATCACTACATGAGATTCTACTTTCTCCACATTGTTCTGTTAAAAAGTTCCTTCTTATCACAGCCCATAGCTTCCACCCTTGGGTTCAGATTCTGCTAAAGACATAAAAAAAAAAAAAAACAGTTCTCTTCAACCTTGTGAAGCAGCAACCTTCCTAGTTAAGACTTTGTGCTATAGCTTGGATGTTCATGATCCCCACCAACCCATGTATTGAAGGTCTGGTTCCCAGGTGGTTCTTTTGGGAGGTATCGGGACCTTCGAGAGGTAAGTCCTTGTGGGACGTCCTTAGGTCACTGGGGCGTATACACCAAGGGGCAGTGGGATTCTGGCCAGTCTTCCCTCTCTGTTCCTTAACTTGTGATATAAATGATTTCCTTCAACATGCCCTTCTGTCATGATAAGCCACCCTCTCCAGGGGCCCAAGGCAAAGGGGCTCTAGGACCATGAGCCAAAATAAATATCTTCTCCTTAAAAGTTAATTGCCTCAGACATTTATAATAATGTGAAACTAATACAGACTATCGACTACAGATTCTAGTAACTTGATAAATTTCTGAATGGAATTAAAAGTAAAACATGATATTTAGTTTGGGACATTTATTTATTTGGGGACATTATCTTCCAAAATGGCATATGATCCATACATGTAAGTTCCTTTGAAAGCATCCTATAAATAACTGATTTTATTGTTTAAGTACTGTGGTTAATATTTTGTTATTTTTTTTCAATCTTATAATTTTACCAATTTAATTCATGTATTGACATATGCCTTCACTATAAAATATGTAATGACTTTACAGGCATTAACTAGTAAATATCAGAACACACTGGCATGAGGCAGAGAAGTTGAGATCCCCTTGACATAATTATTAGAAGGCCTGGGCTCTTGCCCTAATCCCACTGCCCATCTGAGGAATCCTAGACAGGTCACTCTACCTCTCTGGCTCTCGGTTCCTCTTCTGCAAATGGCGAGGATTGAACTAAATGTTCTGTTAGGGTTCTTTCCTGCCTCACCGACTGTTTTCCACTTGTCTGTCTCATGTGGCAGAGCGTCATAGAGACAGTCAAAAAAACACAGCTCAGTTCTCAGTTGTAATGCCAGTAACTCCTCTTTCGAATGCGGTCTAAAACCGGGAGTGCTTTTTACCCCTCTTTTTCAGAACACTTTTCTTCAGGAAACAGTGCGGAGAGAGTGTGAAGAACGCTTTGAACTGACAGAGGCTTTGAGTCAAGCCAGAGAACAGCTCCTGGAGCTGAGGAAGAGCGGTGAAAGCTTACAGTGTTCCCTGAGCAAGGGCAGCCTAACCTACCGTGCCACAGCAGTCAGTAATCACCGGGAACGAAGCAGCATGAGACCGAGCTATGGGAAAGACATCAACACCCCCAGCCTGCATGGAGTGTTAAAACCCACCTCTTCCCCAACCCCAGATAAGCTCAAGAAGGTCAGCTGCTCAGGACTGCTTATCCTTCCCCAACCATATCCCTCCAGGGGCAGAGTGTCTTCAGTGAATGAGGCCAGGCGGAGGCTGGCGGCCATCCTTCGGCCATCCTTCGGAAGAGGCTGAGTCAGCAGTGATGACCCAGAGTCAGGATCAGCCCCACCCAGTGCTCAAGTCCCTTCACACCGTGCCAGAGACTCACTGTAACTGAGGGTGCCCGGGATCCAAGCGTGTCTGTAGATAAGTTTAACAAGGGATGTAAAAAGCTAGGAAACTGTGAAACGGCATTTCCAAGGGGCCTTTGAAATTGCAACAGATAATGAAGTTGGTATTTCATAGTACTGATTTCTACATGTATGCATTGTGTTTTAGATGTGCTCTGGGGATACGCCCTTTTAGAAATCACAAGTAAAAATTTCTCACCCATAGCATCTTTTCTTTCTTTGTCTCTTCCTCCTCTCTTCCCTATCTCCCTTCCTTCCTTCCTTCCTTCCTTCCTTCCTTCCTTCCTTCCTTCCTTCCTTCCTTCCTTCCTTCCTTCCTTCCTTCCTTCCTTCCTTCCTTCCTTCCTTCCTTCCTCCCTCCCTCCCTCTTCCTTTTCTTCCCACCATTGCAAGTAGATATATCTTCACAAAATAGACTGTATTGGTTTTATTGGTGTTGTTTGTTGAGCTTGATTGTGTTAAGTAGATGTGATGAGTATTCCAAACAGAAAATGAAAGAACATTAGTCCTTAGTTAATATTCAAAGTGCTTACTTCACATAGTCACAGAGGTCAGTCATCATCATCAAAGCTTTCTTCAACCTACCTGGTCACTCTGATTATTTTGTATGCTAGGTCAGAAGTAATGACAGAAAACTTTCAAGAAGACAGTCAGTCCACCATGAGAGACTGGGGACTTGGTACAAAATGATGGTAACACCCAATCAAAGAAAAGGTGATTTCTTTCTCAAATCATAAAAATCTTTTTTAGAGAACAGAGGGCCTGACCATGAAAATATTTCTTGGCGGAGATTTTCTACAGGGAACGCTTTTTGGGACACAGAGTTGAATTTGACTGAACTTGCATTCTCCAGCCCATGAAAACTAATTTAAAATATCTTAGTAAAAGAACATAAAGCTAATTTGGCATTCAAAATTTATTACTCTTGAAAATGGGTAACTGATTAACACAATTTCTATTTTTAGAGTGAGACTGTAAAACCAGATCAGCTATTTGAAGTTTTCTTGACGCTTCAGGCTCATCCTGTTTCTTAAAATGAAGCTATTTTTACCTTAGGCTAGAGTTCCTCTATTTCTCTATCTGATATAATAGTATTTTTCTTTATATACATACATGTTTTTTTTTAAAACCTGATTTAAATCCTCCATCTAACTGTATCATGAACATTCAACTTTCTTGTTCTCATATAGAAATAACAGTAACATGCATGAAATACAACACAAAATTCTCTGTTTTGCTGCTGTGTTTATGAGAGAAGCCAGAGGCACCCGGCATCCCTTACCATTGCACAAAAAGTAACATTACTAAGCAAAGCCCAGGTTTTCCCCAGTTTTTCAAAGAATTAGTAGAGTGTTCTAACCTCAGAGCTGTTCCACATTGGTCCCCTGGTCCCCTGCCTAATCTAGATGAAGTTCCTTTTTGTAAGGGTTAGCATGCTTGCCCCTTGCTTTTGGTTTACAGAGATTACCATTCCTCACGCTAGCATTTCACAAGCCAGCACACTACCACAGAAGAGTGGCACTGGGGTGGACCCTAAAAGTCACCCTGACCATCTCTACAGATAAGGAACAGATGGTGAGTTGGCTAAGGGAGTGTACTCGATGACAAACTGAGCCATAACTACTTGATCCCAGTTTTTCCACTATCAAGGGCTTCCCAGGCCTCCATTATTTTTGTCAGTAGCACATACGCTATAGTTAATTAACATTTTTCTTTCTTTAAGGGCACTCACCTTTCAAACGTGAATGTGTATAATTGAGTAATTCTATTACTCAAGGAAGAATAACTATAAAATAGCAAGCTTCTTTTGCTGGTTACATTTTTCTAGTGAACTCTAAATAAATGTGTGTCAGTTAAAATAATAAAGGTTAACTGGTGTACCCCCCCCCCTTAATATCATCTTGTATAACACTGCAGAGACACTGCACTGGGCCTCCCTGTTCCTGAGCTCTTCTTTGTTTGTGATATAGGGTAGATGACAGATACTCACAAAAGTGCAGAATACCTTGGGAAACCATCCTTGTTGTTGGATTGTATGTGCTTTCTCACTGCCTTGCAATTTTGACGCAATGGGAGAACAATAGTTTTCTCCATTTTTCCGAAATTTGAACACAGATTAATAATGAAAATCACACATAAGCTTTTCTGGCGTAGTATAAAAACTACAGTTACCAAATCTGGCTTCTCATTTTGTTGTCACACTCTTGCTTTACAGTGAGCAGCTTTGTAACTCAGAATCATTGTATGCAGTGAAATTGTGTTATGTCCCAAATATGTCAGAGAAGTATATGGATAGATAGAAAAACAATATTTACATTTATTTCAACCTATAGTTTCTGTGGTGCAGACTGAGCTGTATACTTACCCATTTGAAGAAAGAAGTCCTTAAGATGGCATGAAAATATGCAACCCAGATATTAAAACACTACCCCTGACTGTCTCGTGGTAATTGAATGAACTAGTATGAAACAGTATCAGGAATTTAAAGAAAGTAGTAAATACTATGGTCTTGAAATAATAAATAAATAAATATAAATAGTAAGTAATACTTTTCATTTCCCTGGATGACCTCAGTGGAAGAATTTACAGGTGTCAAGAGAAAAAAAAAAATACCCCAGAAAGTATTCCACACCTGGCTCTCAAGCAGCTTTTTAAAGTATGTTGAATTAGTGAGGCATGGAGGTACATACCTGTAATCCCAGCACTTGGGAGGCTGAGGCAGGAGAATTATGACTTTAGGCCAGACTGGACTATGTGTTGCATTACCCTGTCTCTAGGAAAAAGATTAACCTCTTAAGTTAGTGTACTTGGTAGTCAGTCAGAACTACTAAACATTATATTTTATGGCAATATAATGAACTAGAAACAGAGTAATCAAAACTGTGTAAGACTACGATCTTTTAATATTTGTTAGTCTAAAAAGGTTTTCATATTAAAGATCAATTATAGTGAGTTTCTTTGATTATTGAACAAATTTCTCAAGCTTTATCTTTTAAATTTTTATGGTTGTGGGCCAAGGAGATGGCTTAGCACGTAAAATTTCCAGCCACATAAGCCTGACCATCAAGTTTGATCCCCAGAACCCATGTTAAAAATTTCAATAATTACAATAATGTTAATAATTACAATATTTCACTGACAGATCAACATCATGCCCTGCAAGGGCCACTAAATTTTAGCCAAACATTATAACCATGGTGCTTTAGCTTACAGAGAACTGGAAATCAACTTGGTATGTGCCCAAAGTTCACAAATTCTATAGTGATTGTAAGTTAGTGAACTTCTTCATTTTCATCTTTTGAAAAATAATTACTGTATGGTGTCTTTTATGCAGAACACCTGTATCAGTCGCCAAAGCATGGCAGACAATTATGGTCTTATTTCTATGGTATATCAGGGAAGAGACTTGACTTTTCTTCTTGAAAACATCAACTATGTAGTAACGAATTGTGACGCTAATGTTAAAGTGTTGTAGTTTTACATTATTAAATGTTATATCATCTTTGTATATCCTGAATTTCACATATATAGCATTTATCAGTGTAATAGTTGAATAAAATACACTTTCCTAGGGTAATATTTATCATGAAGTCAAATGATTTCCCTATATTCCAACATTCATTCACATAACATAGTGCTTTGTGTTCGTTAGGTATCCCTTAGCTCCGCACCCAATAAATAGAGAATAGTCACTGAGGTTAAATAATTCATTCCAAATAATGAATAAATATTAATAAGTGATGATTTTAAACATCTGAAGTTTGTTATCTTGAATTACAGGTTAATACTAAAGCTATTGATTCAGTTGTTCCATCAACAGATATGGAGCACAACGTGAGCTGCACAGTAGGGACGAAGATAGAGCATATGCAGAAACGGCAGCATAGAGTAGAGAGAAGACTTGGAAGCAAGCTGTTACAGGTCCAGCATTTTGGTAGAGGGATAAGGAGCACTTAAGTAAGAATTGTTCATTTCGGTAAAGTCTTCTTTAAAAGGGAAAAGGAAGAAGGTTTGCCAGGCAGAAAATGCACAGAGTCACAGATATGAGACACGTAGGAAACATTTGATGAGAGGACGTGGTGGGAGCCTAGATACCTGGTGGGTTGACATTGCATTAAGGTGTCGAATAAGGACCAGTACAGGCCTCTGGCTGCAAGTGACATGTGCTTAGCTGAAAATTGGGAGCCTGGCTCTGGCATGGCCTCTACTGGAGAAATTCTGAAATGGAAAGGCTGGAGATGGTACACCGGTTGACAGACAAGTTGAGTAGTCCAGATAAGAGTTAATGAAGTGCTTAATAAAGATATTTATGTTGGGAATAAATAGTAGTCATCTGATTTGAATTTTATTCAGAGTAGAAAAAGGATTTTTTTTCCCTGCTAACGGCAATTTGAAGCTATTACCAGCCACTGCAACATCATCAGGGGTACATTTGACAAGACTGGCTTCTGATTAAAGGATCATCTCTATGTAAGACTATTATAGCCTCTCTGAATAATGTGAAGTAATAGGGACTACACTTTATTTGGAACATAGACGATCCCACAGACTTGTATACATAAGAAATCTTACAGGAACACACAGATCTGAAAAGCGTTCTAAGAGTTATGAAGGAAGAGTGGGAAATGGACATTAAAAAGAAATAATTATCACTTGACTCAAAGAATGCAAAGTACAGCTAAACCGGGAGGTTTGGGAGTAATAGTGTACAATTAAACTGCTTTCTGATTTCTACTAACCATTTATGAAGAGAATAAGAAGAAATGCTAAAATTGTAATAAGGGTTCTCTTAAAATCTTTACATTTTATGGTACTGAAGAGACCTGATACATCGCCCAGTTCAGATATATAATATTACATAAGTAGATAATAGTTCACTTAGGGGTTAATTTTCTATTCACATAACAGCTCAACATCAGACTGAATGCAAGAGCCTGGAGTCTCAACTTCTGGCCTATGCATATCATTTCTAGACAGAAAGAGTAGGATTGGCCAGTTTCCCACTACTAAAAATCTTTGAGCATGATTAGAATCTCCTGGGAGCTTGTCACAAGTGCAGAATTTCAGGTCTCACCCCCAAACCAACCTCTCTCTCTCTCTCTCTCTCTCTCTCTCTCTCTCTCTCTCTCTCTCTCTCCCTCTCCCCTTTCTCTCTCTCTCTCTCTCCCTCCCTCCCTCTCTCCCTCCCCCCCCAGCTTAGTACTTACACACATTAAGGAAC